TTCTGTATTGCGTAAAATTTTGCACAGCCCGCCTTATCACTGACATGTCAGTGGGTCTAGGCCGTGTTTCCCTGGCGTGTGTAAAGCTGACAGTGTGCCCCTCTCGTCTCCATCTTTTGACTCTCGCCTTACCTTCTTAATTAAAGCCTTAGATACACCCGTGTATTTGGCTGCCCTGTCTGTTGCACGGGCTTTGCTTCCTCATCACACAGCTTCACTACGCTGGATATCATTTCCCGCTGTTCCCTGTGAATAGTTTTCTCCTGCTTACTTACACTCGACATCTTTAAATCACCTGTGATTGAATATAGAATATTATCACAACACCCACAGAACACAGAACAGACGCACTTAGTACACGCTAATCTCAACTGCTTGATGTTTTCAGTCTGTGCAGTAGCATAAAACTCTGGCGTGTCACACTTCCCACCAATAGCAGCCCTCTAGTCCAGTGGTATTCAACCTTTTTGACGTAAATACGTCTATAAGGAAGGGTCATTCGGCAAAAAAGTGGAACAATGGTAACCTACGAAACGTCGTCTGTTTACTCGGCATTATTGTTACCTACGAAACGTCATCTGTTTACTTGGCATTGCTGTTACCTATAAAACATTTCATTACCTTACCTTACATTACATTACCTTACCTTACCTTACATTACATTACTTTACATTACATTCAGCCACCACAGACCCATCTTAAGCGTAACTAATTCAAGTTAAATAAGCAATGTCTTAATCAAACTTTACTCGATTGTAAAGCATGTATAAAGGAAATATTTAGAATAAAGCCAATATATAAACTTCCTTTCCGTATAGACGTATTTACGTCTAATTCCCAAGAACCGTGGTTCCACTGACAACTTTTTTTTGTTCGCGTACCCCCAGATATAATTTCCCTTCAACTTTGTACCCCCAAAGTTGTTGGTTTATAATTCAAGTTATACAAAGTATATAATCTACATCTAAAATAAATTAAATAAATTACATTACTGATTTTTCAGTGTTTATTATAAATAATGTATATATATATATGTATATATATATATATATATATATGTGTGTGTGTGTGTGTGTGTGTGTAAGATTTGAGGTTTTCACAGCGGTGAGTAAGAGATTTCTGTCTTCTGGGTTGTTGCGCTCTATATTCATCGCCCTGATGACGGAGGCAGTATTACCTGTGAAACTTTGGTTAACATCGACCAGACTACACAGCGCAACAACCCAGAAGATAGAAATCTTAATATATATATTAAATGTAATATATTAAATTTCACGCGTACCCCAGGTTGAATACCACTGCTCTAGTCCACCAGGCAGTAAACATTCCCCCCGCAGGGCTTTTCTCCTGATGTGTGGACAGTAACTGAAGAGCATAGCATTAGTCACATACAAAGCTTCACAAGACCCATTTTGGGTTGGATAGTTCGACACCTGATATCTTCTTCTCCCATAGAATACTCCAAACTCTTCCTTTCATGGTTCACATTAGAGCTCGTTCACACGACACCGAATCGGCCGTTTTATAGAATCGATTATTTTACCGTACACCGCAGTGGCAAATCACGTTATATGTGAATGTTCACTTGAAACAGCTGTCGACCGTGTACAGCACCGAATCGGTTTATCATTAAAAATATTACATATTCAACTCGGATTTGTACCTGTTTCATTTCCTGCTTGCAGGTGAATATTGCAAGTCAACGTATTATTTAAAGAGCCTCTTTCTATATTTACAAATTTCCACAATACTCTAGGAGTGTTGTTTGAACTAGTTATAATGTGCTGGATGTAGTTTGCTTTTGATGTTTTTATTACTACATTGTGTTCCTTTTTGTATATTAATATACTTGTCTCTATGTTCCTGAATCTTACTTTGCATGTAAAGATCATATAAGATTTTTTTTAAAATTTGTTCTTGCTGTAATAACATCTTTATTTATCAAGGAACACTTAAAGCACTTACAATATTTCTTCTAACTTTTGGACAGGCTATATTAAAATATTAGTTAAAATTACCATAAAAAGAATCCCATTTTTTCTCTGCATCATTATCCCAGAACACTTCAGTCCAAGTTTCATTTTGTATTAAAGAGCAAAGGCCTAATATATTGGCTTCTGGTACATTCTGATACATGAGGCTAGTAACATCAGTCACTGCAGTACTGAGGCAACCCGGGATGTAACCGAAGAGACGGGCTGTCCAGGAACACGAAGTCGGATGTTGGACGGACTGAAGGAGTGGAGAGAGCCATACTCGGATACTCAGAACGATTCAAGTTACAATGGACGAAGCGTTTACTCTTAGCATCGTCACATAGTTTATACACAATGGTTGTAGAGCGAATTAATATGCAGCAAACTAAGTAGGATGTAAGGAAGGTGGGGTAGATATTTCAGTGAAGTGGCTGGACAGCCAAAGACGATTTGTGGCAGAGACAGCAATTTTCTTCATTCAATCTACTACCACATGAAGAATCGTTATGGGGCCCCCACAAGCTGTTATCCGGTAGGTCACTGGATGTCTCTCCGTAGAGGCAAAGAAGCTGGATGATACAGCTCTGACATCACTCATGAATACCGAAACCTTAAAATTAGGCGACTTAGCTTACTTCCATCTGATCATGTCACTTGGAATTATCTTCTGGGGAAACTCAATAGACAGCAGAAAAGTGTTTCACATTCAAAAGAAAATTATGAATATAATGGCAGGCACTAGAAGGAGAGCCTCACGTAGGGAATTGTTTATGAAATGTAATATTCTTCCATTGGCCAGTGTATTGTATCTCTCATTATCATCGTTTTTGGTGGACAATGTGGAAAATTTTCAAACGAGTTCAGGTGTCCACATTACAAGTACAAAGCAAAAGTGGGTATGCTTCCTTGTGTAATTATTTTTGCTGCAATTCTGTAGTTGACTGTCAATTACTGTCATAATTATGTAATTTACATTTGTATTAGAAACATATATTGTATTTGTGCTATGAAATGTTCTGCATTCTTGGCCTGGGACTATAAATTATCTTATTTTATTCTAACCCACATTTAATGCTGAGATCTGGAATGTGTGGATGTTACCTCCAAGTCCGCTGTAGGTCTTCACAGCACATTCAGGCACAAGGAGCCTGACAGGTTAATAGGACTTCTTTGAGAGAATAGAACTGATGCACATTAGAAGAGTCAACATGTCGCATGTGTGCTTTTATTTGTCAACATACACAAATTAACTTCACAGAATTCAGTCGACAAATTGCTTTAATTTAACTTGTAAGCGCAATAACATTTCTTTTTGCTGCACATGCCTCCACCATCATAATGCTGCTTGATACACGCTTCGTGGCACTCTCCGAAATCGGGAGGATTCTTCTTCAGGCAGTCAAAGGTGCCGTCAATTGCTGTTGGCAAATGGAAAATATACATTGAGGCTTTTTTAAAATGTTAAGTAGGCATTGGGGATACCAAAATTGTTGTCAGAACTGTCTGGTTAGGCTAGGCTATGTTAGGTTAGGTTAGGTTAGGTTAAGATAGGGTAGGCTAAGTTAAGTAGGGTTAAACTGGGCTTAGGATTTTTTGTAATTGAGAAAAGGGTAACGGGAAGTTGATGAGTGGATTTTGTGTAGTCCAGATCCTCTTGACACTGCCAATAAGGGTGAAAGTGGCTCATTATCTTTTACATTGTTGGGATTTTTTATTAACTACGATTGATTTAGACGTTTCTGCTTACGTAGGATTTGAGGTTCTCACGACACAGTCCAAAAATGGCTGTCGTCTGGAATGACCGCGCCGTGTATTTTGGTGGAATTTTAAAACGTTTCAGAGGTTCTTGTTTTATAACTCGTCGTCCTAATGATGGAGGCAGCAGGGGCCTCTGAAACGTTGGTGTACTTCTGCCATACCACAAGGCGCGACA